CTTTGTTTTACTGCTTCAGCCTAAATGAGTTTTCTAAAAGTAATTCGATAATCCTTTGTAGGTAAAACAGGCTGAATGAAAACAAAGTCTGATCCATTCATACTAACCATAGGATTAACCACTGACAGGTTGGTCTAAAAGCAGTGCAAGAGCCTACAGAAAGAGGCTGATAGGCCATGCATGTAGGATAAAATAACAAATGAATTGGTAAGGTTGGAGAAAAACCTTCCCCAGCACTCTAGCCCTTTAAAACACACTGCCACCACCTGGGCAACTGGCAATTTTGAAGTAAAGGGAGATTTGAGTTAATAATTGCTAATTATTAATTATAGAATAAAAATATTCATTTTGTGAAGTTAGCATTTTTTGTCAAGTATTTAGACATTTAAAAAGAGCAGGGATTTTAGCCAGATGTATTTTAAATACTGTTCAACTTTTAAAGTTTCTGGTTTCTTTCTTTTTATTAAATCATAGCTGTGTACATTAATGCAATCATGGGGTACAATGTGCTGGTTTTATATACAATTTGAAATATTTTCATCAAACTGGTTAACATAGCCTTCACGGCATTTTCTAATCGTGTTAAGACATTTATATTCTACACTTAGTAAATTTCACATGTACCCTTGTAAGATGCACCGTAGGTGTGATCCTACAAATTACTCTACCTCCACCTATCTTTCTCCCTCCCCTTCCCTCCCTCTCCCCTTCTTCTTGGGCTATAATTGTGATTCCATCTCAGGATGGTCAAGGGACTTGAAGAGAAACTTTTTTGAAGAAGACAGGCGGATGGCTTACAGACATTCGAAAAATGCTCATCATCCTTAATCATCAGAAAAATGCAAATCAAAACTACTTTGAGATATTATCTAACTCCAATAAGATTAGCCCACATCACAAAATCCCCAAACTAGAGATGTTGGCATGGATGTGGAGAAAAGGGAACACTTCTACACTGCTGGTGGGAATACAAACTAATATGTTCCTTTTGGAAAGATGTTTGGAGATCACTTAGAGAACTAAAACTAGACCTGCCACTTGATCCTACAATTCCTCTACTAGGTATATATCCAGAAGACCAAAAATCACATTATAACAAAGGTATCTGTACCAGAATGTTTACTGCAGCCCAATTCATAATTGCTAAGTCACAGAAGAAGCCTAAGGGCCCATCGACCCACAAATGGATCAATAAATTGTGGTATATGTACACCATGGAATATTAGGTAGCCTTAAAAAAGATGGAGACTTTACCTCTTTCATGTTGACATGGATGGAGCTGAACATGTTCTTCTTAGCAAAGTATCTCAAGAATGGAAGAAAAAGTACCCAATGTTCTCAGCCCTGCTATAACCCAGTTTCTGGTTTTCTTATCTGTAAAATGGGTATAATATAATAGTCCTGTAGGTTTGTTCAGCCTCAGGATTAGCGATAGTAGATTCAAAGCACCTGGCCGATAGTAAATACTTAATAAGTAACATTTTAAAAAAAATTTTATTTTTTTTTGGAGACAGTCTCATTCTGTCACCCTGAGTGCCCTGGTGTCATACCTCACAGCAACCCAAACTGTTGGGCTCAAGGGATCCTCTTGTCTCAGCCTCCCAAGTAGCTGGGACTACAGCCACCTACCACCACACCTGGCTAGTTTTTCTATATTTTAGTAGAGACAGGGTCTCGCTCTTGCTCAGGCTGGTCTCAAACTCCTGAGCTCAAGAGATCCACCTGCCTTAGCCTCCCAGAGTGCTAGGATTATAGGTGTGAGCCAATGCTCCCAGCAATAAATACCTTTAAAAAAATTATTATTATTCAGTATGATCATTCAAAATATATAATAAAAACCTCATGGCTTTGGTGGCAGTGGAGGGACAATGGTAATAGCCACAGCTGAAAAGGGCCAAGTGGGAGCATGGCGAGCGCAGTCTCTGGGTCTTCCATACCTTGAACTAACTCTTGCGCTGGTGGAGACCAGTTTAAAAAAAAAAAAAACAACCAAAAACTGGATGGCTTTTTTAAATCACAGAAATGTGCCTATTAAGAATGCATTTGCAGGGTGGCGCCTGTGGCTCAGTGGGCTCAGTGGGTAGGGCGCTGGCCCCATGTACCGAAGGTGGCGGGTTCAAACCCAGCCCAAGCCAAACTGCAACAACAACAAAAAAGTAACCGGGCATTGTGGCAGACGCCTGTAGTCCCAGCTACTAGGGAGGCTGACACAAGAGAATCGCCTAAGCCCAGGAGTTGGAGGTTGTTGTGAGCTGTGTGATGCCATGGCACTCTACTGAGGGTGATACAGTGAGACTGTCTCTACAAAAACAAAAATAAAACAAACAAACAAACAAACAAGAATGCATTCGCATTGTGTTTCAATGGAAGGAAACAAATCTCACAAAATATAACTTAAGAGAAGAAATCAATTCCATCAAAGCCAATCAAATATGTGAAGAGTTATTGCAGGAAAATAACCAAGCATGCAGTTGAAAGCACTCTAAAAATCTTTTAGTGAATACTACATTATTATTCTTATTAAATTATATTAGCTTATATTACCTGAACCTTATCCACAATTACTCACAATTGTCACATGGTTCAGAGCAGTGGTTCTCAACCTTCCTAAATGCCACCACCCTTTAATACAGTTGCACAACCCACAACCCACCACTGGTTGAGAACCGCTGGTTTAGAGTGAAATGTAACTTTGTATCAATCAGGGAAAAAGACTTTTTGGGCAAAAAATGGCATAAGACTCCTAGAGATTTCCTTCTCAAGAGAAAAACACTTAAGAGTTTTACCAGGCTCCAGTTAAATAATTGCACGAGAGTACCTGAGTGTTGATCAGACTGGTGGTGCGACATGCTACACATTACGCTTAATGCAAAGGTTGAGCCCACTAAACAGTAAGGTTTAGTTTGGGTCAAGTTACATGAATAACTAAATTTTATTTAAGAGTAAATAAAAGACTTTTTTTGTTATTCTAAATTGGTATCCTAACAGACATGAGAATAAAAACCTGATTAAAAAATAGGATATTTTCAAATAAAGAGCAGAACTTTAAGAAAATTGATAGTGATATTTCTACTAAATACTTTGTTATTTACTACATGTGAAGCTTAAACCAGAACAATGTGACCAAATCTAGTCCAATTTACAGATTTTAAAGCTGAAAGGACACTAGAGAACACTTAGTATGCTTTGAGGAAACAGGCTCCAAGTGATTTATCAGATACTTACCAGTACTCAAACAAAAGCTCTGACTCTCACCACAAACTAAGATTCCTCCCTGTAGAAAGCAGTCCACATACTCTGACTGAATTTTTTTTTTTTTTTTTTTTTTTTGAGATAGTCTCACTTTGTTGAGTGTTGTGGATGCGGCTGAATCTTGACACCATCTATCCTAAAGGCAATGCAGAGAGGGCAGTAAGGAGCTCAGCTGTGGCAACTTCTATGCTGCTCCTGGGCTTGCAGCCTGTTACCAGAAGCTAGATCAGAAACAACTGACATGCCCTTTATTCCTGCTGGAGCCTCCTGTGTTTTTAACCAAGCATGCAAGCATCAGAGCAACTACCGGGAGGCAGTAATTGGGAAAACTATGATTAAAATAAAACACACACACGTTGGCTTCTGGAGTGAAGGATGTTGATAAATTCTGACCCCATCCTGATTCTGGATTAACTGCTTGCGCAAGTTTTAATAAATCAGTTATGTCTAACAAGAAAAGTTTTCAGTGCACACAATCTAGTGATGGAGCCTGCTTTTTCTATCTGCTGGAAGTACAGACTAGGACCAAACAGCATAGGCTCTTACTAGGTTTTCAAATAAAAATGAGCAAGAAAGCACTGCTGGGAATAAAACATACAAATACTAACATATACCCAATGAACAATATTTTAGACGATTAAAGAGTATCTGCCAAAAGTCTGTTCCCTGGTAAATAAGTTGTTGTTATACCTAAACTACTTATACATGCTATAGCTTGCTTCTCAAAGAGAACATTCTTAGTCTTTTTGAGAATTAAAAACCTGCTTTATTTGGCACATAACAGAGATCTTGCAACATTTCCCAGAGGTAGTCAAACAACAATTCTGTGCAAGCAATCACAAAATTTGGTCACCAACCAAACCAGAGCTAATCTTTCAGTTCCTGTAGATTAGCGGACAATACTAACTCACCCTTTCTGCTTGTTGACTTTTGCATCCTTTTATTTGAGTACTGAAAGAACAAGTACTTCTATGGGAACTCTATGCCCTGACAGTTTAATTATGTATCAAGTTTACTCTTGGCAAGTACTGATCATTCTTTTGTGAAATATGTTAGGTTCTTAAGTTAAAAACAACTACAAAAAAGCCTTCCTCGCACACCATGGCTGTATTTCCCCATAGCAACTAGGTTCAGGGGCTCCATCACCACCCGGCTGCTAGTCACCCTTACGTGAGGATGTAACTGTTGTCCAGCCAGAAAAGAGAGCACGCGATAGGATGTGAACGAGGAGGTATTCGCCAGGCTCCGTCAAGGGTAGATGGGAGACCTTCACCTTGACTCTGGGCCTTGACTTGCCGCCACTATTTGGTGTGAGTTGACCTCAGCCACCCAGAACCCTCCTACTGTCCGGCTTCAGCAGGGAAGAGGGGGGCTTTCTCCCAACCGACCTCAGGGGTAAAGGCAGAAGACCCTACTAGTTTCGACCCTGCTCTCGAGGCCTGAGGTCGCCCCACGCCTATTCGCGCACCCCTTCATCCCTCGCAGGAGGTGGCCTGCCGCGGACTCCGGGGCCGCCGTCCGCACGCGCGACCTCACCTGCCGCTCCCCAGAAATCTAGTCGCCGCCCCGCCCCCACTCTCCCGCGTCCTCACTGCAGGTCTTTGAACCACACGACCAGGACGCAGCCGGAAGCTGCCCCCTCGCCTTCGTCCCGCCCAGATCCCGGCCGGGGCCTGCCTGGGGGAGGGACGTGAAAGCCGCGGCTTCCGCCTTCCTGCTTCCGGCCTGGTGGTGAGCTGGAAGCCGGACCCACGTCCCTGGAGCGACATAGGGCCGGCTGCTGCTTAGGTTTTGTCCCAGTTCCTAGTGCAGGCGGTTGCTGCGCTAGGGGTGGTGGGGCCGACGCGGGTTTCCCCGGATTTTTGGCTCTGCGGAGCGACCCGCGCTGGCCAGGCCGAGGGGCACGAGTGACCATGGTTCCCGTGGGCCAGCGGCCGCGTTAGGTAAGGGTGAGCCAGCAGGGGGGGCAACATGAAGGAGAAAAAGACAAAGGGGAAAGCGCCGATGGCCGTTAAGTGCCACCAGTTGCGGCTTCAGGCACCACGCAGGTCTGGACGGGAAATTGAGTCCGGTCGACCTGTTTTGGGGTGAAGATTAATGGAAGGCCTGGATATTTGGGTCCGAAATTGAGGTGTGGGGAGATGCGTGGCCTATGGCCGACAAGCCTTTGTGTTAATAGCTAAAACTTTGTTACAAACCGGGTCCTTGTTTTTCTCTCTACTGCCAAAGTTCTTTTGCTTATCTCTGAAACTTGCATAGTTTATTCATTACTGGGGTGGAGAAGCTGAAGAAAGGTCAATCTCAATAGAATCTGGAGTTCTGACTATGTGGGCTAGGGCATACGAAGTTGGGTCTAGCATGTTTAACGTCCTAGATGTGCGTTTTCATGCGTCTTCAGGTGCAAGTTGAGATACGATTTATTGGTAATATTAAAAAGCTGTAGAAAGATTAAAACAGGGATAGTTTTCTTGAAGTAATGGAATTGATTTGCAATGTTTTGGTTATCTCCTGATTTTTTAAATTAAAAGACACTACTTGTATAATAGACAAAAAACCTTGGAAAGACCAAGTCTAGGTTGGTCTTGGATTTTAGGTTGGATTTTGAAATCATGTGCCTCATTTAATAAATGAATGACAACATTTTTATTACAAAAAGTTAAAAATATAGGAGTGGATATGTTGTGTAACATCAGTTAACCAATCTGTCTTTAATTTTTTTAAGAGATAATATCTTGCCTTGTCACCACTTTATGGTCCAATCATAACTCATGGGGTCAAGTGATCCTCCTGCCTTATTGTCCCAGTAGCAAGAATTACAAGCTACATCTACCATCTCTGGTTAATTAAAAAAAATTTTTTTTGTAGAGACTGAAGGTTGGGGAGAGGCCTTGGCCTCCCAGAGTGCTAGGATTACAAGCCTGAGCCAGCATATCTGGCCTCCAACTTGTCTTTTATATGTCAGTAAATTTCAAAATAATTTTATTAATAAAATGGTAACTTGGTAAAATACTTGATTTCCAGTAATTAGGATTTTTAAAGAGCATTTGCAGTTGTGGCAAACTCAAATTAGGAAGAAATAGAGACTAACTAAATGTCTATAATTTTTAGGTAATTTTACATATCACACAGGCTGCATAAACAATATAGAGATTTTTCATTGAAAGTTTTATGATAAATTCCTGAAAGTTGTGACTTAAGTTTCATTTCTTTTATCCTTTCCAGCTCACCCACAGTATAGAATTTAAACCTTCTCTCCAAAGTGTATGGTAAAACTAAAGACAACGACGAACAACTAAAGGTAGTGTAGAATTGTGATTGGCTCGATAATAACACGAGGACAAAGTTAAGAGATTGCAACTCAAGCATACGGTAAATGATAGAAGATTTTTTTAATCCCAGCTGAAACTGAAAGTGGCTGTGTGTACACCTATTCCTTTTCCAGGTATACGTAGGCCACTATAAAAGTTTTGAGACAGGCTATGTTATGGTCTATTATTTCACTTCCAAGAAACACAGCGACATCCTTTCTGATTCACATAGCTTGTTAGTGTTGCTGGGAGGGCTTTGTTTCCATCTGCAGGGATTTTGTTTCTTGATTGGGATTTTGTTTCTTGATTTTTGTGTATTTCAGAACTTTTGAAATGACCCACATTCTACTTTGAGTAGAGCCTGACACAATGGGAGAGGTAGAAAAGCCTTTGGGGGCAATATAGAAAATGTCACTCAAGTCCATACCCCTTTGTTTGCCAGATAGCCCTCCTGCAAACTCAGAAAGGAACAAAATGCATAGCACTTGTTATGACTACTTTTCTTATTGAAGCTGAAATTGCTTAAAATAGCACATTACTTATTGCTTTTTCGCAATGGCATATGAATGTGGATAGACACCATTATGACTGCCTTACTTTCTCCCTTTTCCATTCCTGGAAGCGTCATTTATTACCTCTTTTTATGAGAGCATGTCACATGTTCCATGGCTTGTTCTTTTTAAACACCAAATTTGATGGTTTGTGTAAGCATATATCAAAAAAATGATAAGCAGGATTCTGCTGTTTATTGGAATAAGTGTGGAAAACTCAAGATTTATATTAAAAGTATGCTACTAAAGTTTGTCTTAAATATAGGAAGCACATACAAATGTATAGTCCTTATGACAGACTCACATGGTTTTTACTTTATCTTTTTATAACTTTATTTAAAAGTATCATTACTCTGGTTGTCCTGATTGAATTATTTATTTCTAACTTGAGATATTAGTCTTTTAGTACTAATTAATACTTTTTAACAAAACAAATGGAATTCTGAATTAACTGGGTGTATGATGAAACTTTTTCAAAAAAAATTTTTTTAAATTTCAGATGAACATGAGGGTACAGATGATTAGATTTTTTCAAAATTCTTATTTACTAGTCTTTATCTTGTTCATTTTTCTGTGCTTTCCCACCCCTAGTTTTCCTAAGACTGCTATGAAGATGTTTGATATCAAGGCTTGGGCTGAGTATGTTGTGGAATGGGCTGCAAAGGACCCATATGGCTTCCTTACAACAGTTATTTTGGCCCTTACGCCACTGTTCCTAGCAAGTGCTGTACTGTCTTGGAAGTTGGCCAAGATGATTGAGGCCAGGGAGAAGGAGCAAAAGAAGAAACAAAAACGTCAAGAAAATATTGCAAAAGCTAAACGACTAAAGAAGGATTGAAGGAATGAACA